GGCACCACTGGTCCTGAAGAAAGAAGTCCAAGCTGCACTGAAGCAACTGGCAAAAAAAACCCCCAAAGTTCCAGGAATTGACAGAACATCCACTGAGATGTTTCAATAAACAGACGCAGCTAGGGAGGTGCTCACTCATTCATGCCGAGAAATGTGGAAGATGACCTGGCCAACCGACTGGAAGAGAGCCGCATTTGTACCCGTTCCAAAGCAAGTGATCCAATAGAACGCAGGTATTATCGAACAGTATCATTACTATCACACACAAATAAAATTATGCTGAAGGTAATTCGAAAACACTTGCAGCAGTATAGGGACAGGGAACTTCCAGAAATTCAACCCAGATTCAGCAGAGGATGTGGAATGAGGGATATCACTGCTGATGTCAGATGGATCTTGGTTGAAAGCAAAGAATACCAGAAACATGCTTACTTGTGTTTTATTGACTATGCAAAGGCATTTGACTGCGTGAATCATAAAAAATTATGGGTAACATTGTGAAGAATGAGAACATTAAAACATTTAATTGTGCTCATGAGGAACCTGCACATAAACCAAGAAGCATTCAAACAAAACAAGGGGACACTACATGGTTTAAAAACAGAAAAAGTATGCATCAGTTGTACCCTTTCACCATACTTACTCAAACTGTGTGCTGAGCAAATAATTTGAGGAACCAGACCATATAAAGAAGAATGTGGCATCAGGAGTGTAGGAAGACTCAGTTACAACCTGTGATACGCAGACGACACTAACTTGCTTGCTAGAAAGTGAGGATGACTTGAAGCACTGACTGATGACGATCACAGACTTAAGCTCTGCAGTATGCATTACCCCTCAACATAAAGAAAACAAAAGTCTCACAACGGGACCAATATGCAACATCATGATAAACGAAGAAAAGATACAAGTTGTCAGGAATTTCATTTTACTTGGATCCACAATCAATGCCCATGGAAGCAGCAGTCAAGAAATCAAACATCGTATTGCACTGAGCAAATCTGCTGCAAAAGACCTCTTTAAACCGTTCAAGAGCAAAGACGTCATTTTGAAGACTGAGGTGCACCTGAGCCAAAGCACAGTATCTAACAGCCTCCTATGCATGGGAGAGCTGGACAACAAGTAAGGGAGACCAGAGAGGAGCTGAAGCCTCTGACCTGACTGGAAATACCGTGGACTGCCAGGGAACCAATCTGTCTCGGATGCAGCGCAGCCAGAGGCTTCCTGGAAGAGAGAACGGTCAGACTTTGTCTCGTGTACTGTGGTCATGTTGTTACAAGGGATCAGCCCCTGGAGAAGGCTGTCGTGCGGTAAAATACGGGGTCAGCAAAACAGCGGGAGAGCCCCGGTGAGATGATGAACACAGCGACCGCGACAATGGGCTCGAGCACAGCAGCACTGAGAGGGCAGCACAGAGCGAGGCCTGCAGGGGTCGCTGCGCATCGGCCGACCAGACGGCACCTCACGGCAGTGGCACCTCATCGGCTGACCGGACGGCACCTCACGGCAGCGGCTCAGGTGCTGAGCATCCTCTCAGGTGCTCGCTGGGTATCTGTGCGTCGCTTCTGGAGAAATGTCTATTCAGGACCTCTGCCTGCTTTGTAATTGTCAGTCCTTTGCTGATTTGGTTGTAAGAGTTCTTTCCTGATTGTGGACACGAGTGCACTACCAGACATGTGAGCTCCAGGCTGCTCTCCACCTGAGCGGTCCACCTTGCCACTCCTTCATGGCCTCATTTGCAGCACAAACAACCAAGCTTTTAATTCTGACATTGTTTAATTTATCTGTTGTTTCTTCTACGGCTTGCCCTTCAGGTATTATGGCTACAAAACCGTCACCAAACTCACAGTCGTGAAGACTCACCTGTAATAACTTGACTGCTTACAGTCAGGTCTCTGGTCCATTTTAAGTTAACTTTTGTATATGGTGTGAGGTAGGGGTGAGCATTTTTTAAGGAATTGGTGGTCATGGGAAAATGCTGGTAAGCCAATCAATCCATGGTTTTCAAGTAGCAACAAAGAGGGAGGCAGGAAGCTCTCAGCCTGCTTCTGCTCTCCGGACAACACCATAGGGTAACCAGAGGGCTGACGAGGGGCAATTTCTCTTTAAGGAATCCCAGCCTAGGAGTGAAACTAGCGTCCGACCACGTCAGTCTCTACTGAACTAAAGCATGGAGGCAGCTGTGGCTGTGACGGCTTGCTGAGAGCTGCTGGAGGCTGGCTCTTGTGCATGGACAACACTCCAACGCAAGGCCCACCCGAATGGGACTGAGTGGCCAGAGCGAACTCCCAATTTATACAGATGACACAGAGGACCGAGGACTGTGTGGGATGACTGCACGGGGCGCACTCAGTGAGGGGTGGGAAACTCAACGGGACAAATGACCAGGTTCTTCAACAGACCTCAAGGGACAGAGTTCAGATCGAGAGAGTGGACACAATTTAACAGGCACACCAGCCAAGCTCAGAGCATGAACTTTGCATGGATCCCGATTCAAGTAAACTGTATTTAAGGGGGAAAAAAAAAAAAAAAGCATGGAGACCACCAGAAACTTAACACTGACTGAACTACTAGCTCTTATGCCAACTTTATGCATAAAAAGGGCACAGCCCTGCGGCTACGCTGCTGAAACAGACACACAGATGGAACATAACAGGCAAACAGAACAGCGGTGGAGCTGGGCTACAAGTACGGTTTCCATCTCTGACCATAAGCAGGAGCTCTGTGATTTTTCAAAACATCCCCCGCATACAAGCTACAGCTAAATGCATACGAGTCCTGAGACTAGAGTCTCCCATCATGGTGGGAGGAGTCATGGCTGAGATGGAGTCTAGACAGCCGCCCTCGCATCGTGCAAACTCAGGAAGCCCACCCCACTCATGCTCACTGCCATCAGACAGTGCCAGGCTAGTCTCCACAGGTAAGACGTGGAGCAGCCAACAAATAGTCCTGAGAAAACTTGGGGCCGGAGCTGTTTCCACAAGGCCTGCTGTCTCATAGGTGAAGCTGTCGACGTGAATGATATCCACACAGGCATGACCGCCTGACGGGAGACGAGTCCCCATAGCACTGAGTGGAGCTGATTGAGGCTTACTGGCATTTCACAACCCCAGGAGGACGGGCAGGTGGGCTGAGGAGGGAGCAGAGCCCAGCCAAGTCTGCACACTTGCAGCACCTGCTGCACCGCAAATGCCAAACAGCTCACATTCAAGCAGCCGCCTGAGCAAGACCCAGCCCACCAGCCTGACAACAGCTGTCCTGTAAAATTCTGCTCTCCACTCTCGCTCCGCACGGCATCACACATGAGAAGTTCATGCGAGCTGGACGCGTACCTTCCAGGCTTCTGAGTGGCCTCATGGCAGCTCCTGTGGCTCTGGCACCTCCCAGAACGCTGTCCATCCTCCAGGAGCATTGTCCGTCCTCCTGGAACGTTCTCCACTCTCCTGGAATGTTTCTCCACCCTCCCAGAACATTGTCCATCCTCCAGGAACATTGTCCATCCTTCCGGAACGTTGTCCATCCTGCAGGAGCATTGTCCGTCCTCCTGGAATGTTCTCCACCCTCCCGGAATGTTCTCCACCCTCCTGGAACATTGTCCGTCCTCCCGGAACGTTCTCCACCCTCCTGGAATGTTCTGCGCCCTCCCAGAACACTGTCCATCCTCCAGGAACGTTGTCCATCCTCCAGGAACGTTGTCCATCCTTCCGGAACATTGTCCATCCTGCAGGAGCATTGTCCGTCCTCCCGGAACGTCCTCCACCCTCCCAAAATGTTCTCCGTCCTCCGGGAACATTGTCCACCCTCCCAGAATGTTCTGCATCCTCCAAGAACGTTCTCCATCCTCCAGAAACGTTGTCCATCCTGCAGGAACATTGTCCATCCTCCCGGAACATTGTTCATCCTCCCGGAACATTGTTCATCCTCCAAGAACCTTCTCCATCCTCCAGGAACGTTGTCCATCCTCCAGGAATGTTGTTCATCCTCCAGGAACGTTGTCCATCCTCCCGGAACGTTTTCTACCCTCCGGAACGTTGTCCATCCTCCGGGAACGTTGTCCATCCTCCAGGAACATTGTCCATCCTCCCGGAACGTTCTCTACCCTCCCTGAACATTGTCCATCCTCCCGGAACGTTCTGGATCCTCCAAGAACGTTCTCCATCCTCCAGGAATGTTCACCATCCTCCCAGAACGTTCTCCAGTTTAGATGAACCGGTGCTGCTCCCTACTCACCACCCTGAACACTTGGACTCACTGGTCCAAATCAGTCTCTAATGTGTTCTCTCCCAGGCCCAGGGGTTTGGGGGTGGTACTGTATGCCCAGGTGCAGAGGGCCAGCCAGCACAGCAGTCTTGCAGCCACCTCAGCCAAGGGCTGCCCGGTGCTGTGCCGTTCCTCCCCAGCACCTGGCTTGTCCTGGACACCACTGACAGACTCAGCCAGCAGCTCCCAGCTTCCCTAAGCAGCACCATCAAGGGCTTCAGTTTCTACCCAAACATTAGAACCGTTCCCTAAAGTGAACGCACCATCTGTGCTTTTCATCCAGCAAACACCTGAAAGGCAGCCAGGACCTTGCACGGCTAGGACCATCCAAGTCACTCGTGGACTGTGTGTCTTAGGCAACACCTCCTTGGTGAGAGGTACACGCAGCTCACACTCACCGTGATGGTGCAGAATCGCACTAAATGAGCAACACTGGGCCCCCGACCTGTGCCACCACAGGGTGTGGAGTGCACTGGGTACCCCTGGGGCTAAGGGGCAGCACGCCCGAGTCCCCAGCCCCACACTGACCGGGAATGCCGTGGCATCCAGCCCCGCAGGGATCACCCCGGGGGTGCTCACAAGAACGAGAGAGAGCAGGACAGGGAGTGGGCGGGTGGTGCGCCAGGGCCGGCCTCCCCCAGGTAGCCCGCCCTCCGCTAGAGCAGCACAGCCTGTGCAGCCGGGACCCGAGGCGTCTGGCTGCCGCAGTGAGGGCCCGGCCGGAGTGCGGCCGCACGCACCTTGCTTGCTCTCGGGGGACAGCACTTTGGCGGTTCCAAAGTCCGTGATCTGGATGTGCATGTCCTCGTTTAGCAGAATGTTCTCTGGTTTGAGGTCCCTGAAAAGGCAGACGTCCGTATCAGAGGTGACGCCTTGGAGGCAGGCACACGGCCACCTGCTCTCAACACCACTGAACACCCCTCACCTTGACGAAGAACCGAGCCGCGGGCAAGGGCTGGTCTGGCGGCAAACCCAGCCCGAACAGGCACCAGCAAACCCAGAGGACTGTGCCGTCAGGCACCTCAGGACTCACACACGGCCGCTGACGGGCCACGGCCGCTGACGGGCCGAGGACTAGCACCTTCCACCCGCCAGGGCAGGAGTCTGCGTGCACTCCCAGTTAGACGTGACCGGAAGTGACGAGTCGCAGGTGAGACCACCACTGTCACCACCCCCGACGGCCCAGGAGCCGAGCGCTCAGCAGTGAGGCGCCGGGCCGTGCATCTGCACGTCTGCCGCCAGAGTCCCACCCCAGAGGGCCCCGCCCATGCGGCAAGCAGCCACGGGACGGCCACGGGCCCTGGCTCAGCGAGTGCCGGTGTGCAGGCGTGTCACTGCTAGCGGTCTGCCCGCGCGCCACCCCGGCCCGAGCACTACCTGTGGGTGACGCCCCCCCACGCCTGTCCCACCCCGGCCCGAGCACTACCTGTGGGTGACGCCCCCCCACGCCTGTCCCACCCCGGCCCGAGCACTACCTGTGGATGACGCCCTTGCCGTGAAGGTACTCCAAGGCGGACACGATCTCGGCTGTGTAAAAGCGAGTGCAGGTCTCGTCAAACGACCCGATTTTGCGGATGTACTTGAGGAGCTCTCCGTTTTTGGCGTAACTAAGGCCAAAGTCTGAACATTGCACGGTCAAGGAAGGACACAAACACAAGCCTTTAAAGCCAACCTCAAAGACAGAGTGTATGTGAACTGCTGCATGAGAGATGAATTTGCTCTGTAAGCTTTCACCCAAATCACAATAAAAATTTAAAAAACAAAACCAAACCCTCAATAGCCTTTAAAGAGAACTTTAGGTACCCACCTGTGGCCACAGAGCCCACCTCACTGAGCAGCATCCTGCCGTGGTCAGAACCGCCCGACACTGACTGCAACCCCCCCCCCCACGTAACAGCTCTCTCCCCACTTCTTCCCTACGCTGACTTCTTTCCTGTATCCTTTCTTATGCATTCCTGCCCCCCAAGCTATCTCCCTGTGCAAATACTGCCCTTCTGTTCCCCACGATGGATCATGGATCGTTCTAAGGAGTGTATCTGTCTGATGTAAATGTTCACCGTATATACGCCTGTCTGTTGCTTGGCTGGAAGCTACAGGAGTTCATTCGATTCCAGGCCTGAGGGGTGTCTAGAGGCCATGGTCTGAGGAGTTTCACCAGGCTCTATCAGATCAGTAAACCTGGTCATTTTTATGATTTTGAGTTTGGCTCCACATTGTTCTCCCACTCTATCCAGGACCTCCTGCACTGATGCCTTCCTGAGTGGTTGGCAGTGGTAGCTGGGCACCATCTAGTCTTCTGGTCTCATGGTCACGTAAACTGAGGTTCCCATGGACAACTATCCCTTGGACTAATTATTTCCACACATCTTTGGTTTTCATTTTTCTTTGTTCCAGACCAGGAGAGAGACCCATTGTTCCATCTAGATGGCCGCTTGTAAGCTTTTAAGACCCCAGTTGCTACTCACCAAAGAAGGATGTAGAACAATTTTTTTGTGTATTATGTTATGTCAGTTGAGCTTGATGTGCCCTGCGACCATGGTCCTGAGCCCCCCAGGTCCAATAACACTCCATCAGGGTGGCTGACTGTGGCTAAGAAGTTATCATAACTCTGCCCCATTACTACTACTTACGTGAACATCGTTACAGCACATACAAGTATGTACGCAGAAATACCACCTGCCAAACTTAAATATGGTCAGGGATATGTTCCCTTTTGCCTAGACATACCTGATGATTCAGCCTGTCCACCCATCCATCCACCAGTAAGCAGATCAATGCTTGCCGTCACCGACAACTCAGTACTGTGCAGGCAAAAGGGTTTGTCTTTGTTGTACCTCCCTTGTACCTCTCTGCCTTCCTCTTCCTCAGTGCCACTGCGCTGATCACACACTTTTGGTACACTGCCCTTCTCTTCACTCGAACCGATACTTGTCTCTACCTATTTAGCAGCGTTCCCTCCCCTCCCTTCCCACCCCACCCCTGGTAACCAACACAGAAAACTTCCTTCCATCTGTAATCCTCTCCTTGACCTTTTATAATAGTGAACTAACACAGTGCTTGTCCTTCTGTGATTGACTTACTTCACTCAGCATAATGTCCTCCAAGTTCATACACATTATGTGGTGTTTTGCAGATTCTACATTATTCTTTAGGGTTGCATAGTATTCCACTGTGTGTAAGTACCATAGTTGGGTTATCCGGTCATCTGTGGATAAGCACCTAGGTTGTTTCCCTCTCTTTGCTATTGTAAATAGTGCTGCAATGAACATGCGTGTACATGTATCTGTTTATGTCTTGGCTCTCACTTCTGCAGGATATATACCTAGTAATGGGATTGCTAGGTCAAATGGTATTTCTAATTCCAACATTTTAAGGAATCGCCATACTGCTTTCCACAGTGATTGAACCATTTTACAGTCCCACCAGCAGTACATGAGAGTCCCAATCACTCCACATCCTCGCCAGCATTTGTTATTTTCTGTCTTGTTGAACTTTGCTATTAGTGCTAGGGCAAGATGGTATCTCCTTGTTGTTTTGACTTGCATTTCTCTAATAGCCAATGATCACAAACATTTCTTCATGTGTCTGTTGGCCGCCTGAATATCTTCTTTGGTGAAGTGGTGTTCATGTCTTCTGTCCACTTTTTAATTGGAGTGTTTGTCTTTTCGTTGTTGAGGTGTTGGAGTTTTCTATAAATTTGAGAGGTAAGTCCCTTGTCAAGTAGGTCGTTGCTGAATGTCTGACCCAATCTGTAGGTCTCTTTTGACTCTCTTGGAGGAGACTTTGATCAGCTTCCAAACACAAATGCCTTCTCGGTCCATCCCTCCATCTGTGAGGCACTTGCCGGGGAGGGTGACAGGCACAGGAGTCCCTCCCAGGGTGTCAGCGTGTCACCACTTGGGTTATTACTAGTCTCCTTTTCCCAAAGGGGGTATACGGTCAGACAGGAAGTGGGTCCCATACAATGCTTCTCCTAGCACCTAACACCTGCATCCACTACAGGGCACCCCCCGGGCCCTCAGCCACCCAGGGTTCTGTGCTGCACAGATGCTCTGTGGCAGGAAGTGGCTGCCTAGCTGGGGTGCAGGAGGCCAGCATGTCCCCCTCCTCCAGCTGCAGGGATGTGGGGACGAGCCTGGGAGGGCACCAGAGAAGCAGGACACAGGCCCTGGACGGTCCACCTCTGGTCTTATCAGTGGGGCCTGCCTGGCCTCCACGCACTGTCTGCCTCATATACACCGGGGCCTGCCCGGGCCTCACGGGCGCTGTCTGCCCGGGCCTCGTGGGCGCTGGAGGAGAAGGGCACCCTGCCAACGGCTCTCCCCGTGTGTAAGCATAGCCCCTCTGCTGCGTGTCCTTGTCTCGGGGCGCCCTGTGGACCCCAGAGTGTCCCTGTGGGGGACGGAGTCTGAGCCCTTCCTGACCTGGGGGATCACAAATAGAGGGCAGCAGGCATCATTGGACAGGGCACCTGGACGCTCTCTCCACAGCACTGCGATGGCCGCCCATCCAGACAGGAAGGGGCACGATCACTCTGGCCAGTGCCGTGCTGCCGACCCCAAGGAAGCTGAGCTGGGGGCTGGACGAGTGGGCGCAGGAGGCACCCCAGAGCCACAGGGCCGGCAGGACACATCACTCCACACCGTCCCACGTCTGACAGCCAGAGTACACCCTGGGCTCAAGGAAGGTCCCAGGGAAGCACAGGGAGTGTGAGGACGTCCCTAGGGCAGAGACGGACCAAAGGACCAGAAGGAACAAGTGGGCAGAGGGAGCCAGGCTCCCAGGCGCAGAGGAGGGTTCAGTTCCCATGGCTTCCTTCTCACGCCCCAACTGCTCAACTGGGGACCAACCACGGTCAAGGTCTCCCTGGGGGCAAACCCCCACCCCCCTGGCCAGAGAGGTGCCCGCACCCCCTCCATGTGCCTCGCCTGCCCTGCCTGGCTCGAGCACAGGGCTTGACCCCTCCCAGACACGCCAAGAGTGATGCCCGCTGCCCGAGAGGTCCACCCACAGAAGTAGGAGCCACCGATGCCACTGTGGGAGCCCCTTGGAAGTCCCCAGGCTGAGGACAGAAGAGTCACGTTGTATTTCAAACAGGTCGTCCTTTTCCTGGACGGAGGAGGGGCTGCTTGGGAACACAGACCAGGGGTCCTGGTGCTAAAACATCACCGGGCCCGGGGCTCCCCGAGCGCATGAAGGATACACAGCTTCTCGTCGTCCTGGAAAGTGAAGTAGAGCTTGACGAAGAAGGGGTGGTCCAGGCGCGACATCACGTCCCGCTCCCTGGTCACGTACGGGACCTTGCTCTCCTTGATGATGTGCCGCTTCTCAAGGATCTTAACTGGAGAGAGAGGCCGGTTACCGCACCACCACCACCACACGCCAGGGCGCAGGCCGCACACACGGCCGTGCACAGGACGCGTGCACACTGCGGCCCTGGGCAACCTGCCCGTCTCCAGCAGCAGCCACGTGCTTGCCGCCGTCAACACAGACCCTCAGGCATGCCCCAGCCAGGCGGCACAGCCACGAGGTCACACTGCACCTGTCCCTTGACACAGGCTTGCAGGGGTGCCACTTACTTGCATACTCTCTTGAAGTTGCCAGTTCTCGGGCCAGGACGACCTGGTGGGAAGAGAAGGGCAGACGCCTTACTCTGAGGTTCCCCCCAGCCCCTGCCCCCGCTGGAGGTCGGCCGTCGTACGCACAGGCTCTGGTCCTCCGCTGAGGAACTCAGCCACGCGGCTGTTCTGGCCGCCACAGCAAGTGTTTGCCCAGGCTGAGTCTGCTACTGACAGTCCCCACGGGGCAGTGAGGGCAGGCTCAGAACCACCTCAGACTAACAGACCTTCGGGGTGGGGGAAGGAACAGCACGCCATGCGGGGCCTGGGACTGTCTTCCCTGAGGAACTTCAAGGCTGCCTGCTGGTGGGCGCTCACCGCATGACCCCACCTGAGCTCGGCTAGTCCATAAACCTCACCGCTTGCACCAGACAACACTCCGTGGTGACCACGAAGGGAACAGGAGGGTGCTCATGCGGGGGTACCTTCCCGGAGCCCCAACCAAGAGCAAGCCCCTCCCTAATCTCCTGAGGCCCACCCAGTCCCTCCAGGTAGCCGCCTGAGCCGCATGTTCAAATGCCTTGTGGAGACAGAAGAGGCCTCAACGCGGCCCCCCCGTGATGCGGCACTGCCACCACGTGGCACCCCTTCGTACGGAGAAGGCCTTCCCACACAAGCGGTCCTGGGCCACACAGGAGTTATTTGAGGTGACACAGCTGCTGACCCTAGAGGCACCCCCGCCTCTGGTCACCCGAAGAGGGACGGCCTACGGAGGCCGAGCAGCTGGGCCAAGTGTGCACCCCAATTCCAGGGCCCTCCAAGCCTCAGCAGAGGGCCTGGAGCAAGCACCGGGAAGAAGAGTGAGGGCACAAATGTGAGCTCGTGTGAATGAGCTCGGATCTCCCCAGAGGACTCTCCCCAACGGCCTCCCCGTCTGCAGGCTGTGTGTCCCTGCAAGGGGCCATGCCTTCAAGGAGCACAGACCAGCTCTGTACATAGCAGACGTGGACACAACCATGATGCTGGGGGCACCAGTGTTTCTCAGGGCCCTTTCTGAAGAGAACCCTCTGTTCCATCAACCCAACACTTCACAGGCAGACTTCCCTGAGGAGCGTTTCCTTGCAGAGAACAGGGCACGGTGCGTCCCATGTCATGTGGGCAGACAGAGGGTAGCGGACTGGCTGTCCTAACCATCCTCAGGGACTGCCAGTGGTGGCCAGGCCTCCAGGGCCATCCAGCACGGGGCTCTGCTAGCCAAGAGTCACCCCACTGGTGATGGTGGCCCATGCCCCTGAAATCCAACCCTCGGTGACTTCCACTCCAGGACTAAGGGGACATGCGGACACAGAGGTGCAGGCCTGCAGGGTCCCCAGGGCCCAGGAATGAGCCTGCATACACGGCTGCCCATGGCAACCCCAGCACGAGGCTCACAGGGCGCAGGGGCCAGAGAGGTGGCACCACCTTCTCCCTACTGTGGGGACTGAGGGACACCTTGTTTCCCAGTTGAGTGACATGCCCGGCAGAGCACAATGCCTCCTCCCACTGGATGCTGTGGCTGGGCAGGCCCCCCAGGCCTCCCACTGGATGTGGTGACCGTGGTGACCATGCGGACCAGAGTCTCCTGCCTAGGGGATCGGTGGGGCCTGCAGAGAGACTGGGCAGCAGCCTCATGGCTCCTGTGCTCTGTCACAAGGCCACCATCCTCTCAAAATTTAGACAAACTGAAAACAAAAACAAAACTCACTGCCGTTAAGCCCATTCCAACTCACCCTAATGCTAACCCTATACAGTGAAACTGCCCACAGGGTCTCCCAGGCTGTCAATCTTCACCAAAGCAAAGCCCAAACCACACCCACTGCCTGGAGTCCATTCTGACCCACAGCGCCCCTAGAGGACAGAGTGGAACTGCCCCACAGGGTCGCCAAGGCTGTCAATCTTCACAGAAGCCAAGCCCAAACCACACCCACTGCCAGCGCCCCTAGAGGACAGAATGGAACTGCACCACGGGGTTTCCAAGGCTGCCAATCTTTAAGGAAACAAAATACAAACCAAATCGTGAATTCAATTCCCACTCACAGAGCCCCTAGAGGACAGAGAAAACTGCCTCAGAAGGCGTCCACGGCTGTCAACCGTCAGGGAAGCATTAGGGAAGCAGACTGCCTCATCTTTCTCTCTGACTGGCTGGTGGGCTCAAACCGCTGGCCTGTTTGTGAATGGCCCAGTGCTCTGACCACCACGCACCAGAACTCCTAAATCCGAAGTCCAACAAGAGCAAAAACTGACGTTAAACAAGACTCCAGGAATGTAAGCATGCAACAATGTTGCCCTTCTTCCTTCTACGTGAAGCATTTCACAGATGCTAGAGGAAGAATAAACACAAATTTCAACCTGGAGGCTTCCTGGAGCTCAGGCTTTGGGTACCCCTGCAGTGGGCACAGCCTGGCCGTCCGCTGTGCGTGGCCCCAGCAGGTAGCAGCCACGTTCTAACTGACACAGGGTTGAGGGCCCAGGGGTGCTCGGGGTCCCCTGACAAAGACCCAAGGCTGTTCTTCTGCCTGTACTTGAAGGGTGCAGAGAGATGACTAAGTCATGGATGTCCCCACAAGGCTCTGCAGCAATAGCACGCTGGCGCTTTCCGTAGATGACGTGAAAACCAGGCACTGACTGCCAAAGGGGCTTGAGGACAAGCTGGGCCATGTGGAAAAGTCAGAGCCTAAAAGGAGTCAAGATTCGCTCCACACGGCTTCATCCGCGAGCCGCCGTACACGGCTTCACCAACAGGCAATGACTTTAACCAGCACGGCCTACGGGGCAGCAGCTGGGCTGGGGAACCCCTGGGGCTGGAGTCCCACCCTACCGGGGGGAGGGTCAGAGGGGCTGGGCGCCTCCAGGCCGGCAGACTCACCGTGGAGAAGGAGCCTTCCCCGAGGATCTTCCCAAACTTGAAGTCTTCGGGCCGCTTCTTGCGAGGCTGGGGCGGCGGGGCGGCCTGCAGAGTGCTGGGGCCTGGCCTGGGCTCACCCGCAGCGCCATCCATGCTGGGCCCCTGCCTGCTGCCGCTGCTGGGGACGGCAGGGGCGCCGCCGGCCTCCATCTGGCTCCTCACCATGGACGGGGGTGGGCAGGAGCAAACCACCACACTGGACTGGATGGGGACAGCGTCATACTGGGGGACACAAGGACAGGAAGGACCCCGTGTGGGATTCCAGTGCCAACACTGGTCAAACCAAGCCCTGGCCGCAAGCCACCCCCGCCCCCTGGCGTCAGCACCCAGCCGAGGGCTGTGCCCATTCTCCTCTTGCTCTCTTGTACTCACACCAGGCTCTGGCTCCTCCCACCAGTCGACTGTCCCATCCCACCCGTCTGCTGCAGCCGCCAGTCCAAGCCCCCAATGGACACCCGCTGCCCTGACCACGGCCTGCTCAGTGTTGGTCAGGACCCGCGCAAGGCCCTCTTTAGGGCCTGCAAGCCCATCATAACGCAACAGGATGGGACACAGTGGCCAGGAACAGGGACAGAGACAACGTAAAGGAAAGGGCAGTTCAAGAACTGGCCACGACACATCAAAATCCTACGAAAGAATGAAGAAAATCAAAGACACACAAAAATAGTCCAAGGCTTATCTCTAGAATTTATAGAACACTCCAACACCTCAATAACAAAAAGACAAACAATCCAATTAAAAAATGGGCAGAAGACATGAATAGACACTTCACCAAGGAGGATATTCAAGCAGCCAACAAACATATGAAGAAATGCTCACGATCATTAGCTATTAGAGAGATGCAAATCAAAACAACAACGAGATACCATCTTGCTCCAGCACTAGTAGCAAAGTTCAACAAGACAGAAAATAACAAATGCTGGCGAGGTTGTGGAGAGATTGGGACTCTCATACACTGCTGGTGGGACTGTAAAATGGTACAACCATTGTGGAAAGCAGTATGGCGATTCCTTCAGAAGTTGGAAATACAAATACCATTTGACCCAGCCATCCCATTACTAGGTATATACCCTAAAGAAGTGAGAGCCATAACAAGAACAGATATATGCACGCCGATGTTCATCGCAGCACTATTTACAATAGCCAAAACTTGGAAACAACCTAGATGTCCAACAACTGAGGAATGGATAACCAAACTTTGGTACATTCACACAATGGAATACTATGCAACGCTAAAGAATAATGTAGAATCTGCAGAACACCGCATAACGTGGATGAACTTGGAGGATATTATGCTGAGCGAAATAAGTCAGTCACAAAAGGACAAATATTGTATTAGTCCGTTATTGTGAAAGTTAAGGAAAAGTTTATATATTGGAGGACATTTTCTTTGTTGGTTACCAGGGGTGGGAGGGAAGGGGAGGGAATAGATAGAGATAAATATTGATTTGGGTGAAGAGAAGGGCAATGTACCAAATGTGAGTGACCAATATGGCAGCATTGAGGATGAGAAAGACAGAGAGAGTTACATGGGCAGTACAAACAACAAATATGAACCCCTTTGTAAATACAATACTGAGTTGTCAATGAAAGCAAACATGGGTATAGGGACGGATAGATGGGTGAACAAGCTAAACAATTATGTATGTCTAAATGGAGAGTGTATCCAAGATCATATACAGGGTTGGCAGACAATGGGCCTCTCGAAGAGTATGAAGGGATGGACACTGGGAGGAGGTAACTATGGGGAGGAAGTGGGAGGGGAGCTGCTGCATTGTAAATTTTGGTCAATGACATGAGACAAAGTATATGTGAACTGCTGTATGAAAAGTGAATTTACTCTGTAAATCTTCACCCAAATCCTAAAAAAAAAAAAAAAAAAAAGTCTAAGGGCTAACGGACTACGCCAACCCCAGGTCCACAACCCTGAGACCAGAAGAACTAGATGGTGCCCACCTACCACCTCCAACTACTTTGAAGAGAACACAACAGGGTCCCAAACAGAGAGTGACAGAACTCAAAATCATAAAAAAGGCCGGGCTTACTAATCTGATGAAGAATGTGGAACCCTGAGACCTTGGTCCTATATCACCCTTCAGGCCTGGGACTGAACTCAGCAAAGACAGGCCTAGGAGGTGAACAGTAACACCAGGGAGGTGCCCGCAATGATATCCCTTGTCCCACGTCCTCTTCTGACTCTGGCTGGCACCTCTGGAAGTTCTCTGTCAATATACTACTGCAATCGTTTTTTAATTCAGTAAGATTTGACTTGCGTGCGACATTAATGATGATGATGTTGTTGTTGTTGTTGTTATGTGCCATCGAGTTGGACCTGACTCATAGCGACCCCTTCTTGGATTTTCGAGGAGGTATCACTACAGAAGCATATTGCCTAACCTTCCTTCCGAGTAGTAGCTGGTGGGTTTGAACTGCCAGCCTTCTGGTTAGCAGTCAAGTGGCTTAGGCAATATGCTAAAATGATATTGTTCGATAATTTCCATTCTGTGGGATCACCTTTCTTTGGAATGGGTACAAATATGGACCTCTTCCAGTCAGTTGGCCAGGTAGCTGTCTTCCAAATGCCCCACTGGAGGGGCATCCGTTTGTTGAAGTATCTCAGTGGGTATTCCGTCAATTCCCAGAGCCTTGTTCTTCACCAATTCCTCCATTGCAGCTTCGACTTCTTCCTTCAACACCACTGGTTCTAGATCATATGCCACCTCCTGAAATGGATGAAGACTAACCAGCTCTTTTTGGTACAGTGACTCTTGTATTCCTTCCATCTTCTTTTGATGCTTCCTGCATTATTCAATATTTTGTCCATAGAATCTTTCAACATTGCAACTCCAGACTTAATTTTTTTTTTCTCAGTTCTTTCAGCTTAAGAAACTCTTTTGGTTTTCCAACTCCAAGTCTCTGCACATTTCATTATACTAATTGGCTTTGTCTGCTCGAGCTGCTCTGTGAAATCTTCTGTTCAGCCCTTTTATCTTGTCATTTCTTCCATTTGCTTTAGCTACTCTTCACTCAAGGGCAAGTTTCAGAGTCTCTTCTGACATCCATTTTGGTCTTTTCTTCCTTTCTCATCTTTTTAATGACCTCCAGCTTTCTTCATGGATGATGCTCTTGATGTCATCTCACAGTTCTTCTAGTTTTCAGTCGCTGGTGTTCAAGGCATCAAAACTATTCTTTAGATGGTCTCTCAATTCAGGAGGGATATATTCAAGGTCGTATTTTGGCTCTTGTGGACTTGCTTTAATTGTCTCCAACTTCAAGTTGAACTTGCATATGAGCAGTTGATGGTCTGTTCCACAATCAGCTCCTGGCCTTGTTTTGGCCGGAGATATTGAGCTTTTCCATTGCCTCTTGCCACAAATGTAGTCAATCTGATTCCTGTGTACTCCATCTAGTGAAGTCCATGTGTATAGCCTCCATTTATATTGTTGAAAAAAGGTATTTGCAATGAGTAAGTTGTTGGTCTTGCAAAATTCTATCACGTGATCTCCAGCACTACTTCTGTCACCAAGGCCAAATTTTCTAACCACCAGTGATTTTTCTTTGTTTCCAACTTTTGCGTTCCAGTCACCAGTGATAATTAATACATCTCGATTGCATATTCGGTCAATTTCAGACTGCAGAAGTTGATAAAAATCTTCAGTTTTCTTATCTTTTGCTTTGGTGGTTGGTGCATAAAATTGAATCATAGTTGTATTAACTGGTCTTCCTTATAGATGTATGGATATTATCCTATCACTGATAGCATTGTACTTCAGGACAGATCTTGAAAAATCCTTTGTAATGATGAATGCCATGCCATTCCTCTTCAAATTGTCATTCCTGGCACTGTAGATTATATGGTCATGTCCTGGTTACCTAGAGCCGCTCTGACAAGAATATACCACAAATGGGATGGCCTTAACAAACAGGAGTGTATTCTCTCACAGTTCGGAGGCTTTAAGTCCAAGTTCAAAGTGCCAGGCTCTAGGGGATGGGTGAAAGCCCCTCAACCTTGGGGTCTAGCTCTGCCTCCTGCTCCTGGCCCACTGGAGCTAGAGGCTTTTCTTCGCTCAGAAAGCTGCTGGCTGCTGAGACTGACAAGCCCAAGGTTGACAAATAAAAAGGCACAGTCCCGATGTTACCAAACCACATGGCAGGCCATTAATTCAAGTCCCCTTAAGTCCCAAACTCAGCAAAGCATGGCAGGCTGCTGAACAACAACCCAGCTACACGCAGGGTCCGAGCGCGCCGTGAGCTAGAGAACGTTCCCCACCAAGGCTTCTCCTCACACACAGGAAGCAGCCCATATTCCCCAAAGGCAAGCAGTTCAGCTGCTCACGGTAGAGTCCACCATGGAGTTGATTACCAGTCTCGTCACGGAGAATAACTACCACCAGCTGCACACAAACTTAACTACCACAGGTCGTCTGATTCAAAATGTCCAAAACCAGTCCATTTCAACTCACTAACGCCTACGATATCAATCTTTATGCGCTCCATTTAATTTCTGACAACTTCCAATTTTCCTAGATTCATACTTCGTATATTCCATGTTCCAATTATTCATGGATGTCTCCTGCTGTTTCTCCTTAATTTGAGGGGTGTCATGTCAGCAAATGGAGGTGAGAAAGCTTTACTTTATCCTTATCAGTAAGGTTGGTTCTACTCTGACGATGCTGCTCTTTCCTAGTTGTATTCTGAGAGCCTCCCGACCTAAGTGGCCTGTCCTCCTACACTGTACTGGACAGCGTTCCCGGGCTATTCTCTCTGCTATCATAATGCTTTCCCTGGCCTATTTTTTCAGAAGTGGATGGCCTCTTCCTTCTTCCTCGTCTGTCTCAGTCTGTAAGCTGCATTGAAACCTATGCACCGTGTGCAACCCCACTGGCGTCTGAAACACCAAACAAGCCTCAAATCGCGCAGCAACGCGCCACCACAGTAGGACAAATGGACAGACAAGGCTGTCTCCCTCAGCCGTTGCAAACCTCCCCGCCCTCCCCTCTCCCGGGTCCCTCTGCCGCCCGCTCGCTCCGGGACCCCTGGCTCTCCTCCCCTTTTCCCTCTGCTTCCTGCCTCTTGGGCACTGGAACCTGGGTCCCTCTGGGCTTGCTTGCCCTCTCCTGATGCCCTGGCATCCCACTTCTGGGGGTGGGACTGTGCAAACAAGGTACACGAACTCTATGTGGGCACTGGTAACTTCTGTCCTTTCGCTAGGCTTC